AAGGGTTCTGGAGGGAGGGGGGGAAAGGGGAGGGAGAGGGAGGAGGAAAACGAGCAAACGATATTGAGGGCTAAAGTAGAGGGCAAATGGTTTGCGATTGATGAGGGCAACAGGTGTACATAGGTGCTTGACTCAGTGGATGTAGGTTTGGACTGTGATAAGAATTGTATGAGCCCTCAATAAAATATTTTTTTTTAAAGAAAAAAAGCAAAAACCATCATTCATGAAGAAAGCGAACGATCAAAGTAGCTGTCAGAAGAAACTCTGAAACTTACTCTTAATCCCAGAGTAGATGAAGGTATGGATGAAGTCAAGTAGTAGCTAGAGAAGGAAAAGCCAAGTATTATAACAAAATGCGCAAGGACCTAAAATTCGAAAACCGAAGGGCAAGAACGTGCTCAGCAAATCCGACACTGAAAGAACTCAAGGAAAAATTCAAGCCTCAAGTTGCAATTCTGAAAATTTCTATAGACAAAATATTAACTGCCGGAGGGAGCATCAAGAGAAGATGGAAAGAATATGCAGCGTCCCTGTACCAAAAAGAATGGGCCAAGTTTCCACCATTTGGACCAGAATCAATTGTGCTGAAGGAATAAGCTCCAGCTGCACTGCATGCTTTATCTAAAAATGAGGCTGAAGGAGTTGACGGAAGACGCCTTGAAATGCTTCAGAGAGCGGAGGAAGCCTGGGAGCACCAGCTTGTCTGTGGCAGGACATCTGTAAGACAGCTACGCGGTCAACTCTCTGGAAGAGATACGTATTATGGCCCAATCCAAAAAAGGAGACACAACAGAAAGTTCAAACTAAAAAGTGATATCACTAACATCTCACATAAATAGAAGTTTCTTCAGATCATCCAACACTGGTTATAGCAGTTCATCGACAGGGAACTGCCGCCATTTCAGGCTGGATTGAGAAGAGGGCATGACACAAGGGATGCCATTGCTGATGTCAGATGGATCTTGGCTCAAAGCAAAGAATACTAGAAAGATGCTTACTTATGTTTCATGGATTATTGAAAGACACAACTGTGTGGACCATAATCAACTGTGGATACCTTTGAGAAGAATGGGAATTCCAGAACACCTCATTGTGCTCAGGAGGAACTTGCACGTGGATCAAAAGGCAGTGATGTGACTAGAACAAAGGAATATGGCGTGGTTTAAAAGTAGGAAAGGTGTGCATCAAGGTCATATCCTTTCACCATACTTGTTCAATATGTATGCTAAACAAATTGTCTGAGATACAATATTATATGAAGAAGAGTGTGGTATCAGGATTGTGGGAAGGCTTATTAACAACCTGTGGGGTGAAGATGACATAATCTTGCTTTGCTGAAAGCGAGGCAGAATTGAAACACTTGCTGATGAAGATCAAGGATTATAGTCCTTGGTATGATTTAAATCCAATGAAAGAAAGATGAAAATCCTCACAACTATACCAGTAGGTAACATCATGATAAATGGAGAAAATGTTGAAATTGTCAAAGATTTTGTCTTGTTTTGTCCACTACCAATGCCCATGGAAGCAGCAGTCAAGAGATCAAAAGATATATTGCATTAGGTAATGCTGGGCAAGAACTCGTTATAATTTTGGAGAGCAAGGATGTTGTTTTGTGGACTGAGGTATACTTGACCCAAGTCAGAGTAGTCTCCATTGCATCATGTGCATGTGAATTTCAGGCATTGAATAAGGAAGACAGAAACCAGCTGGATTCACACAGTGGCTTCAGCAACAGGCTCAAGTGTAGGAAGAATTGTGAGAACGGCACCAGACTATGCCGTGTTTTGTTCCATTGTGCATAATGTTTCTATGGTTCACAACCAACTCGATGGTACCTAACAACAATGACAACAATTCAACGGTTTGAATACATTAAAATGATACTGTTTTTACTTAATGAATAGACTTACACGAAACGTATTAAAAAAAGCAAACCCACTGCCTTTGAGTCGATTCTGTGAGGGTATCCAGGCTGTAATTACCTTTTTCTGCACAGTGGCTGGTGGTTTCGAACTGCCAAACTCAGGGTTAGGTTATCAAACCAACAATGCCTGCCCCACAGCCCACCAAAGTGCCTTAGCCTACATACAGTAAGTGGAGTTTACAGTGTGCAGGACACACACACACAAAACCACCACTGCCAGAATGCTCCTTAGAGGCACGGACGGCAAGAGTTGGTCTCAGGTACTTTGGACATGTTGTCAGGAGTGATGGGTTCCTGGAGATGAACATCATTGCAGGTAAAATCGAGGGGCAGCAAAAAGAGGAACACATTCATGGGACAAACTGACACAATGGCTGCATCGATGGGTTCAAACGTGGGAACAGTTGCAAGGCTGGTGCGGGACTAGGTCGTGTGTCGTTCTGTTGAGCCTCGGCTGCCATGAGTCGGAAGGGACTTGATGGTACCTAACAGCATGATATGGTTTCCGTTACAGCGACTTCAATGCTGTTTTATAGCATCGAGTAGTTACATAAAGGAGCAAGGGTGACTGTGTTTCATCAGAAGCTTATTTTCAAAATGAACTGTAGCACTCCCACTTCTGAAGACATTGTAATTCTAGATCATATGAAAAGATCACACATGACAAAAATATTTTATGTCCGAGATATTCAATGCATAATCTTCTTGGTTGTAGTTCAACAGTTATCAGAAGATCTGTTGTCACAGAAAGTCCTTTAGAGGTAACATTTCCCAAAAACTAACCTCCCAATAGGGGTTACTCATACAAATAAGATCTTATTAGAATCATTAATATATATGTAATCATTAAAATATACATGAGCTTTTTGTGAATGCTTTTGTAGACTCCAGAACCCAAGCTGTATCTTC